TAGATCATTATCAAGAATTTTTTTCAAGTTGCAACTCTTCTTATATGCTTGAAATGTAAAAACAAACTTAAAAGGATCAAAGAAACTAAAGCATTTTTTGAAGCCTTGAAGATAGTATTTATTTTTGTACCAATCTTGTAGTCCATCAACTTTTTGAAGGTGTTCTTTATGGAAATAGATGCATCAAATTTTACTATGGATGCTATTTTGTCATAAATGAGAGCATATGACAAGCTCTACTTAGTAGCTTTTCATTCCAAGAAATTTTTCAACAGTCATGATTAACTATGAGATCCATTATAAAGAGATTCTTGCAATTGTGGATTCATTTCAAGAATGGCATTATTATCTAAAAGGTGCTTCTAGTCTAATCATTGTATATACAAATCACAAGAACCTCGAGTATTTAATGTTGGCATTTGTTTTGAATTATCATGAAGCTCGTTGAAGTATGTCTTTATCAAGATTTCATTTTTAATTACTTATTGACTTGGAAAATAATAAGATTTATCAAATACCCTTTTTAGACATTCTTATCTTATACCTAAAGAAAGAAATGGAGCTTTTGATCAATAAAGAATAATTTTCTTGAACCCAAAGTATTTTTATCTTTGAGCAATAAAATCAACATTGACTATTGAGTCAATCTTTATCAAGCAAATTCAATCAAGTATGTCCTCTAATCTTCTTATTCATGATATCAAGAATAATTCTTCTAAGTCTCATGATACTTCTAGTTCAATTTTAAAAATAATCTACTCTATTTCAGGAGACAATTATATATTCCAAAAGGCAAAGAACAATTATGTGTTCTTTCAGCTCTTCATGATTTTTTTAGTGGCTCGACATTTTGGATATAATAAAACTTTGGAGCTAATGTCAAGAGATTTTTAGTAGCCTAAAATATAAAAGGTAATTAAAGACTTTGTACAATCATGTAATATTTGTTCAAGATCCAAAACTCCTCATCATCAATCTTATGAACTTCTTCAATCATTACTTATTCGGAAACAACCATGGTCTTTTGTTTCTATGGATTTTATTACAGATCTTTCAATCTCAAATTCATATGATTTTATATTTATAATACTAGATTCTTTTATCAAAATTTCACATTTGTACTATATGCAAAATCTATTATAAGTGAAGAAATGACATTTTTTTTTTTTTTTGATCATATCTATTGCTACTATGGATTATTCAAAGTTTTGATTATTTAAAAGTTGATAATTTTCTTGTAAAAGATTTGGCAAATCATTTGTCTAAGCTAGATGAAACAATTAAGGCGTAGTTAAAAGAAGCTTATGAATGGCAAAAAATGAATGCAAGTGCCTATTGTAAAGAACAACCACAATTCATCATAAGTGATAAGGTATGACTACTTTGTCCTAACATCAAGACTACTTATCTTTGTGATAAGTTAGACTATTGTAGGCTTAGACCTTTTTTTATTTATTTGTAAACAAATCAATCTTGTTGTTTATTGATTAAATCTACCAAAGTCTATGAAGTTCCATCATGTATTCTACATGTTTCTTTTTAAGCCACATAATACAATGAATATCTCAAAAAGAAGATCAATACCACCTCCTCTTGTAAAAGTAGATAATAATCAAGAGTTCAAGGTGAAAGAAATCTTAGATTCAAGGCAATGCTAAAATAGGTTAGAATATCTTATTTATTCGCACAGATATGATGTTAATGAATTCACATGGGAGCCAATAAAGAATCTTGTAAATACAACAAAGAAGGCTGGGGCTTCTTATCAATAACATCTATGAAAACTAAGATGAAAAATAGTAAATCTTTGTTATAAAAGAAATAAAATTCAATGAAGGTAAAATTCTATCTTCTACTCTTGTTTATAATCTTTGTATATTTGTGATGCTAAGGAGATGAAAAACCAACAACTAGCAGATTCAACTCAAGAGCTATCACTAGTTGATTTACTGGACAAAATATTTTGAATATCATAACCTTCAAGACAATGTAATCAAGATGATGATTTTCAAGAACAACATGTCGTTTTTTAAATAGATGGCAAGATACAATGTATTTGATATCACAACCTTAATATCATTTACTATATTTGATGATTTTATTAGAAGTAAGAACAACTCTTAATGATGTTTCAAATATTTTATTTGAAAGAAGTTACAGAGGCCTTAATGACAATCAAATAAGAAGATGGTCTTTGTGCCCTGATATAAAATACTATTGATAGTTGAAAGGACCTATCAACCATCTTCGAGAAGAACAAAGATTAGAGTATATAACAAACATAATTTGCTGCATCTTAGATTTCTTTAATATATGATAACAGCTCTTTATGCAACTTATCCTTAGAAGGGTGGAATAATGTCACAAATATACATATTTATTCTAATAATTATCTATATGATTAAGTAAAAATAGATAAAAATAAATTTATTTTCTAATATTTTTTAGATGCTACTTTCACTTTATATATGTTTGTAGTTGATTGATAGATTAGAAACTTGATTAAGAAGTTAACTACGTGTTGGTAGCTTACAGAATAAGTTAATTATATGGCGCACATATAAAAAACTTGCCTTACAAATTAAGATATGTATCTTACAGTCAACATGCTTTGGAGGTCCTATAAGACATTGCGACATAGCTCCTAATTAAGAATATATGTGGAGGCAAGAGTGAAGCCTTCTATACTCTTATTAATATTTTTTTAGTCCTTAGTCTTATTTCAAGACTTTCTAGTCTTATTGTCTCTGATAATAGCCATTCTAATTTAATACTATATCATCTTTGAGTGATTTTTTAATCTTTTCAAGTGATACAAGAATGTATTGACATTTTAGTTCTTTGAGGTTCATGTCTTTAATAGCGTCCTTCAAACCACAAGAGTTGTAGTTCAAATATCAAGTTATAAATTGCTTTTAATATGGCTTTTTGAAAGAAAGAAATTTATAAAACAAGTTTAAATAGCCACATAGCCTATTTTAAAATATCCTATTCTATTCTGTATTTATAAAACTTCCTATGAATTTCTTCAAGAAGATAGTATCTATCTAATGTATTCTTCTTACTTCTATTTATTTTTATTTCCTTGACCAATATAAATATTTGTTACACCAATCCAATTAAATCAAGATATTCATTATTTTTACAAGTAATTTAAAATAAAAATAATTTTATAAAAATAACATTTATCAAAATCTACAATTATTAAGATGTATAAACTATTATAGTTTTTTATTAGAACTTTTATCTTAACTAAATATTAAATTATAAAATCATAAATTAATTGCAAAGAATATAAAATAACTAAATTATTAGCAATGTCTCATCTTACAAATCTATGGGATATTTTAATATCCATTCATAATCATACAACTTTCTTTAAAAAATCTCTATTTCCACCTTATTGATGAATATTGTCCAATAGGCTCTAAGCTACAAAGTTTAATCTATACTACTATTTTTTTTCTCATATTGTAATGTGTACTTTAAATCATGATTATTGCTATAAAAAATGGTATCATATGATTAGAGATATCTTAACTATTACAAAATTCACTATCTTAAGTCTAAGTCACAATATTATAATTATTAAATTTAGATATTTATTTTGAAAAAGAAATCAACTAACATTTCATGGAACTCTTCTTATTACTCAAATCATGGATTATAAACTAAAAATTTTAAACTAATTCAACCTCTTTGATTGAATAAATATTATTTGTAATATGTGGATAAAAACATATATTCTTATATGTATAATTTGGGATTTATTCTTGATAATCCATTTATAAATATTCATCACAAATCATTATTAATTTTTCTATTGATTTGACTTTTATTTTTGTTCTTGTTTGTATATCTCAATGATTTTAAACATACACCAAAGAATTCACATTATACTACTTAACAACTGATAATGCACATGTAGCACTTTAATAAGAAAGGTGTTCAACATGTATCATGATAGTTTTCCTTTATCCTTGTGAACATAGATGAGAAGGGCCAACATATTGCTTAGATTCTATCCTAACCTCCATCCATTGACAATGAGTGGGCAACAAGCAAGGCAAAACTCAAATTAGTGGAAACAATGTAAGATGGTGAACCTTTTTCACTTGTTAGTAGGGTTGGTGCTACTAATAGACTTCAAATTGTCAATGACTTTCAGCAATATCCAACAAGAGTATAGATTGATTCCAGCCACTTGTGCTAGATATTAGACTTTGGTCCTTCTCACATTGCTTAATTGTTTGTTTTAGTCCATCTCTGATCCTAGCCAAAGCCTTGATCTTCACTGCTGTTAGCTCTAATAGCCTTCACTTCAACTGATTTTAGCCAGAGGAGTGTTTCTTAACAAATATGTAAAATATTTGTTAAAATTGCCCAATGTTCATTCATGAATGTAAAAACAATTACCATGGTATAAACTGGGCACCTCAATTGACCTGGCCAAATCCATCCAATCAATCATACTTTTGTTTTAAAATAGATTATAGAATTTAAATAACTTGTACAAACAATCCTCCCAAAGTAGATGGATTAACAAATATTCATATAATGTATTTGTTTATCCAAATTTTTATATTAATAAATAAATTAAAATTAAAATTAAAAGATGCAAATCTAGAACAAATGAGAAAATTACCTTTTTGTTCGAATCTCCAAGAAAAATACAACTACAAGTTCATACTGATTTGGATCTCTTTCAATACGAACTGAACTACAATTGTATAGCTGCATGCAAGGAACAGTAATAAAATAAATAAACGCTTAATAGAGTCAGAGTTGTTAGATCTTTCTCTTCAATGGTAATAGCACAGTCAGCTGGTACTCAATAAACCAACGCAGTGGCTATCAATGCAGGTCCCCCAGCCAGAAGAGATGATGCAGAAATCACCTGCAGATTCAGGATTCTGCTTCACACTTGCACGTAAACAGCGGCAACAGATGTGTAACAGGGCGTTACAACGTGACGACGCTGCAAAGGAATACCACACAAGTCGATAAAAGCAGAGTGAAGTTGAACGGTGGCAATGCCATTGCAACTTAACAATTCCCATTCAACTCACCTCAGCAAGGGCAGTCGGCGAAGGTCATACCCCTTCTCACCAACCATGCGAGGAACAGTCACAACATACTCTTAAATTCAAATCTACTCTTAAGTTCTGCAAGTATGTCACCGGCAAGGGTATTGCAGCAGCTGATACAAAGCCGGGACAACACCCCTGCCTTCGTCACGTTCTCTACTTCTTTCCATGTGGGTACGAAACTGAGCCATTCCGGTGGCTTCATCACTCTCTCCGTTTCCTGCCCCTTGTGCATGCATGTTCGGCTATCTGAGATTCACCGTCGTCATCGCCATCATCTCTACTGCCTACGGAGTCACTACCTCTCCACCTACACTATCTACAACCGACCACACACCAAGTTGCACGCGTGCCAAGGGCAATCACATCACGTTGCCGTGAGCACCCACCACCTAACTGCAACTCAATTCTATGATACATTCGTAAGCAGACGGCGTCTGCAACTTGAGTTCGCAAGGATGAGTACCTGCGGTGAATTCTACCGTTGCATGGACGTGACTCTGGCTATAATAGCGCTAATGCTCTTGTTCAAGGCGCCCAGCCCATTCACAAGCCTATCGAGCTTGGTATCCACGCCCTCGATCATCTCCAGTTGCCGCTGCCTCTGACCTTCCCCAGAATGAACTGTTCGTTCCATCCTCTCCATGTGCTGCCGAAATAGCTCCATTGTCAACTCGGCACGAATGTTGAGCTCTTCCTGCCTCTTCTCAGAGGCTTCAAGCCGCATTGTGAACAGCTGCTGCATTTCACGCACAATGGCGACGCTCGAGGAGCCCTGGCGATGGTGACTTGGTTCTCCCTCTTCTTTGCCTTCGCCTAAGACATCTTCATTCCCAGGAGTTCTGCTAGGGAATTCTGACCCCTCGTCTTCGGAGCCTGACGAGACCTCAATCTCAGGCATTCGGGTAGGATTATCCCCAGCAACTTCCAGCCACACGTCGTAGAACTTGGGCTTCAGCAACTCCCTCACAGCTTTGCCGGACAAAGCATCTGTTTCATGCTGCGCACGTTTCTCCAGCCTAAGTTTGTACTTCGTGCATTCACGACGCACTTTCCAGTACTTACTCTCACACTGGTTTTTGGTGAATTCTCGGCCAAACTTCTCCTGCATAGTCTTAATGATCGGGTCCCATTTCTTCTGATTCTTCACCTTCCCTCGGCTCTCAATGTACAACCTTCGGTGCACGTCATCATATGTCTCGAACAAATATTTCACCATGTCCTCAGTCCATGGAACTGCTGTCTCAATCTCTTTGCGCTTCCGCTTCCTGCCAGCTTTCCCTTCCCCATCTGAGCTGTTATAATCTTCATGTTTCAGCTCTTTCTTTTCCTTTCTGTGCTTTCTTTCCTTACTTTGACCTTCCACGAGCTTCATGCTCTGGTGATTCTTCCAAGCCTCCCCTTCTGGCCAGTGCAATACTCCAGCGTCCAGAGAGTACTCTATATCGCCATTTTGGTCAAATTCCACTGGCACGCCATCTTTCCAGATCTTGCTTTCTTTTCGCTGTCCCCTTTTCAGCTCCACTTCCGGAAAAACGATTGGTAGGGCGCTGAAGCCCTCACTCCAACCGCCATAGCCACTGCTATCTAGCACTCCGGGTGAAAAGAGAGCCAGATGCTCGTCACTAAGTGGCTGCATGGAAAAAGGCACGTTATTGAGATAGCACCTACACTAATCCTCAACAACGGTGCCTTCCTGTGGCAAGATCCACCACACATATCAGTGAATGTCACTAGAAATTTTCTTAAACGGAATTGTTTGTTTTGAATCATTTACAAAAATCAATCTATCAGAAGACGATAAATTCGCAAGGAAAACTCGTTTTAATCAACTCCAAAATTGTCCGTACTTCTTTCTCCTCCAAAAATAAATAAATAAATAAAATATGAAAAAAACACACACAAATTTATTTATTTGTTTATTCATACAAACACATGTGCATGCGAAAAGCGGTATCTGGAAAAATATGTTAAGTAATAACTACAATGTGAATCGAAGGGTCGCCACTTGCATAAAATACCCATATTTCAGTCGATCTCACAAATTCTCAACTACTCTAAGATATGTAACTTAAAAAAAAAGTCGCTCAAGACAAACACCGCAACTCGTCATCTATACTCACCAACCAAATACTGTACCCCTAATCATCATCATAGCCTGAGATTACCCATAAACGCTAACAAATATTTTTCAAAAATCCTGTTTATACTGGGACAGACCGTTAATATACGCGATCGTTTGGACTCTTCTTTCGCCCTCCCACTGCTGTGGCATGAATCTCAAGATCGTCAAGCTAATGTGGCAGCTTGCATCTAGATGTGTCGATACCTTTCTGACGAGAGTGACTAATCTTCTCAAGAAACAACCGCTTCGTGGAATCGTCCCAACCTCTAGATCTACGCTTCTCGTTCCAAACGATCGCCCTCTAGCACCAACCGGCTCAGGAAGCTTACGAGTACCCTAGACCTCAAACTAGGTTTGCATCTTACGAATAGTCTTAAGCGCCTCAACCACCGCACCCTGAAACCCCAGGTATCTACTCGCCACAGAAGAATCTCTTGCACCGACCACAGTCGACCAGACTCCAGCACCAGATGTAAGAGTCCCAAACACCCTTGAGGCGAAACACTACAGTAAAGCCCTGTTGAAACAGACCACCGCGAGAATCCACGACCTTTGTCGATTTCGGACCCCAACATCTAACCCTAGCTCCCCACCATTTCCTAGCAGGATGCTACTATCCCGATTATAAACAGATAACCAGCTGCAACCAAGATGCAAGAAGATCCAACCTGTCTAGTGTGCAGCTTCACCACCACCACCACCACCTCCGACCTCCGGAAAACTCTTCAATCGACAGTAGGGTGACACAGAGAGGAGATTTGATACCCCTGTACAGAAAAACCTTCCCAAATTCAGACCTTCTTGCTGATGCGCTCGACTCGGGAGGCACATGGACTGTCTAACACAAGTATGGCGGAAGAGTTCCCAGCACCTACTAATCGGCACGCACATGGACCGGAACGCGAATTGAATATTGGTTTCTGCGGGTGCTGCTGCATCGGAAGGAGCAAATCCGGGCGACACAATATGTGGGACCACTCGAACCAGGGTCGAGAGGCTCGACCAGTTGAGGGAAACACGAACCCCAAACTTCGTCAAAGGGAAAAGAGGAAAAGCCACCCGCGAGCAAACAAGACGAGGGCCGAGACTGGGGCCGGAGCATGTTATGGCGGAAACCGAATGATGCGGCGCCCGGATCGCGATTGAGGAAGACCAGATGGAGAGTGCTCACTGTTGAGCTGTTGCACGTGGAGGCGTCGTCCCCTCTCCAGTGCCTCTCGGCGTCACCCCCACCTCCGCATTCACGTAGTTTTTCCCTTCTAACTTCGTTCTCTTTTTCGTCTTTTCTTTAATCTCCGCTGCCAGTTCTCAGGTTCTGGGGCCCACCATGACAGCTGCCGGAGTGCTTCTGAAGCTTCTTCCCCGGTAATTCTACTCCTTCCCGAGCGGCCATTCTGAGCCACCCCGTCCCAGATTCTAGATGAACGCCATTCTACGACTACTGGTCGATGGACCACCGAGTTTTCTGTTGAAGCCGATGCACGAATTCATGCCGAGTTGCTATGGAATCTGACAAATACTGCGTGCCTGTACTTACATGACTCTACTGCAAACGATGCTCATGGTCGTCGTGCAGATCCGCTCTACCACTCTGAGCTGGGACCCTACTGTGGACCAGGTTTCGAGGCACAGGAACTCATCTCATCTCATCTCAACAACTTATCCTATCTGCCCCAGTTTTTCTGTCTCCATATATTGTAGTCTTTCCTGGACAGTCGCATTCCCAACGTGGCACCCCCAACCCATCAACTGACTGCCTGCCATTCCAGCGGCACTTCGGCAGCACGTCGACGACCCCCTTCGATGCCCCCTACCCCATCTAAAGTGTACGTCGCCAGGTTTTTCTAGATTGCACTCTCGAAACCGCTTCGGCAGCAGATCCAGCGATGGCGTTATGCACCACAGCATGCTACCGCTCGGAAATTACCGTGACCCTGTTGGTGTTTTTTACTATAGTGTTTTTCAGGAAAAGTGAGAGTTTGAGAACTGGGTTCCTTCAGATTATTGATATTATTTCAATGATGTTCAAACATTATGTATACATATATATGTAAAGTGTGACATAAGTTACCTTTGTAAACTATAAAAAAATAAAAATAAAAAAATGAAAATAAAAATATAAGAAAATAAGAAAGTATGGTACATATAAAATGAACATTTGAAAAGATTCCAAATTCATGATTCCTCCCATTTTTCAACATGTTTTTTTCCCAGTACCTATTCTCTAATACTCGATTTAAAAACCCATGCGAAGACTGCTTTCTCTATACATCCACATTCAATTGTAATTATTTAAAATAAATTATCATTAACATCAACACACACTGAAGAAGGGGAAAAAAAATAAAAATAAAAAAAATAAAAAAATGAAAATAAGAAGCACAAAGAAGCACAAAATTACAAAGCAAGTATTGGCCCAATAAAATCAGACCACGTCCATAGGCACAATTACCGACGTTTTCTGTCGCAGAGACTTGCGGTGTTCACCACGCGGTGTAAAAGGGAATTCAGCTCAAGGTTCAGATTCCGCCCCCGTGAACAGATGAATGAAAAGATAGATGAATAATATCGAGTTGAAGGCGGAGGGGGGGTGGAGTCCGAGGAAGTTGTCGGGATCCAGAGCTGATGATGAGAGGGGCGGCGTCAGAAGTCTGTTCATCGACCTCCCCCCCACGTCAGAAGCGTGATCTCAGCCCCCGATGCCGCGTTGGCGTAAGGCAGGTTCCCCTAAGTAGTCCCGACGCCTGTCCCATTCCAAGTGGGGCTCGACGAGTGTCAAGCCTATCGAAGGAACAGAGTCGAAACTTTTCTGGATGTACGTTGCCCCATTTACCGACGTTTTCTGTAGACATACGTTCATCCATGCATTCGCATGAGAAATATAGAATGATTGGAGTTTACTTTTACTTTTTCTCCAAATTGGCGAAAGTAGGGGCGGGTCTTTCACTTGGCCTTTGAGGTGGTGGCAACTTTAAAGTTTATTTGAATGTTAAAGGAATATGGATGTAATTTGTATTCAAAGTAGGCAAGTAGAAAAAGTAAAAGGTGGGAGTGGTTTCATTTAAGTTGAATTGGTGACTCACATTGATTGTTCATGATTTGTAAAGGTTTTTAATTTCAAAATTATGATCTTATTACATGTGTCAAAAATTTAGTAAATAATTGATTATAGTAATAAGCCAATAATTAACCAAATATTATAAACCTATAAAAGAATTTTTTATTCTTGCATCTTTTTATAATTGTACTTAATTATTGATTTATTTATTTTATAAAAAAGATAATAGAAATAAAAATAAGACTTAAATTATTATATAAAATTTTGATTGTTAAAATATAAAATTTTGTAAGTTTGATTAGCATTTAGAAATTTGACTACAAGAATAAAATTATATAAAATTTAATATAAATTCTACTAATAATTTAGAATTAAATTAAGTATTTTTTTTTGTTAAAATAGATAAATAAAAATGAAAGTAGAATGTGATACCTTGTAGAAGATATTACTTAAGATAAGTTGTTAATGGTCAAAAAGTTGGCTCTTAGTTTGAAGAAAGGCTAAGAAACAAGGTAGATGAATGGACAAAGGATCTTAGAGGTATAGAGGATATACTAAAGATGTATTCTTATAGTAGATAAGATATCAATGAATAGTTTCAATAGAATCTTATATAGATGTATTCATTAAAGGATGGAAGTTGTCTATTATAGCAGCAACCATTACATATAAGTAATAGATTTTGGAAATAAGACTTATCTTATTTCATACTCATTTTATGTGCAACCTTGATGATGTCATGTGTTGTAACTTTAAAGTTCTCTTTTTTCAGTAGGTTATAGACCCACTGACCTTTACTTAGAATTTTTGAAGTTTTTTAAAGTCTTTCTTATTGTAAAAAATAGATCTTATAATTGTTGCTGATGTAGTATTTAATATCTTCAAATCCCACTTTTGCATCTACTTGTTAATATAATTTTTCTCTTACTTATTGTTAAATATATTCATGGTCTTGGAAGTTAAAAAACACCTTAGAATGATATATTAGAGCACTAGTATTGTGTTTCTTTGTTGAGTTATATTATTGGTATATTGATATTGTGTTTATATGTGCTAAAGTTTTTAAAAGATTTTTTTTTAGTGATAAGAGGTGTTTATGAGATTAAAAGTGATTAAAGAGCAACAAAGCTTATATAAGAGGTTTAGATAGAGTATTAGACTTGTAAAAAGTCTTATAAGTGAAATTAAGAGTGATTAAAGAATGAAATCATTGGTTTACATATAAAAAAGGCATTCTAGGTTTTTAAGCCAACAACTTCTTTATCTTCATTTTGAGAGTTCTATCTTATCTTTTTCTTGATTTTCTTTGATATACCTCTTCTTTAGACATAATTTCAAGTAAATGTGAGGGCTATAAAATAATTAAAAAATTTAGAAGTAACAATTTTTACCATTAGAAGAAGAAAATGTAACTTTTATTTAGCTCCATTGGATCTTTGGGATATTGTTAATGAAAGAGCAGAGCTCCCAAGTAATAATATTGATATCAAGGTGAAGAATTAATATAAATGTTGTAAAAAGAAGGCTTTTGGATTGATTGCAATAAATCTTGATAATGCCAACTTTCCATACATAATTATTTTTAATGAATTAGCACAAGCATTGAAGACTCTTTGTAACATCTATGAGAGTAGAAACCTTTTGAACATTCTATAGACAAGGACCCTCTTGTTTTTAATATCAAACATCTTTCCAACAATCTTCCTGAAGAGTCTTCTAAATTCAAGTATGAAGACAATATCTTGTTCTTTGAAGAATGTTTGTTCATTCCTAAAGGACTAACTCACCTGCATGTTCTTCAAACACACCATGACTTCTGAGCAGTCGGACATTTTAGATTCAACAAGACCTAGGTTTTGATTGTGGATTTGCATAGATAATAAATGTAGTACCTTATTTGATTGCCCTCACAAATGCTTTAGCTCCGATAAATAAATGTTGTTGAAGTTCTGGCTTGTTAGGTGTTAGAAGCTATTTCATAGATCTAGGGATTCTATGATCTATTAGAAAAAATTCTAACTTTCAAAATATCCAATCAATTCATTGATTATATTTTTTAAACCATGAGAGTCCTAAAATGACTACACTTGATGGTGATATAATAATGTTGAATACTACTTGGTTGCTATGGTTGTCAAAAGTTATTTCTAATGGAATTGTTTCATGAGTGATGTCTCCAAAGGATAAAGGTCGACCATCTATTACTTCTACATGTATGACTTTGGATTTTTTGACTGTATAGATTTTGTGTGATCTAAAAAATTCTTCGTCAATAAAACATGCAGAGGCTTCCGAGTAAAGTAATGCATGACAATCTAGTTTTGTGACTCCTAACCGTACAGATATAGTAAAATAATAAGAAGGGCTAGCAAAGAGTACAAGACTTTTTTTGGTTTGTAATAGTGAAGAATCCAACTGTACAGTCCCTACTATGATTGGATGCCCTTGTTTTCCTGCAACACTTTTGATGATGTGGCCACACTCCTCATTTGATATATATGCTAGTATTTTTTTGAACAATTATTTATCTTATAGCCAATTTTTTTGCAATATAAGCATAGGCCAAGTTTCCTTTGATGCTTTTTTTCTTGTTTAGAAAGAGGTTTGAAGCGAACTGCATCAATCTACATATCCTTTGCTTCCAATTGCTCATTAGAATTGGATGGTGAAGAAGCTGCAGAATAATTGGTGTACACATGTGGCGTAATTAAAGAACATTTATCTTGTCATCATTGAAATAAATGGTTATCGAACTTCACAACTTGACTAATAGCTTCATTGAGTGTTAGAGAATCTGGCATAGACAACAATAAGTCCTTGACATTGTCTCTTAATTTCAAATGAAATTGGCTCATCAATGCATCTTCTCTCCAATTTATATCACATACTAATTGTCAAAAATCTTATGCATACGCTGATGTAGAGCGGGTTTCTTGTCGAAGGCTTTGAATTTTAATTGTTGAAGAATGAATCTTATCATATTCACCAAATGCTTCCTCAAATGCTACCAAAAATACTTCAAAATTGTGTAATAAAAGAGAATTCTTTTCAAATAATGAGGTGAATCAAGATAAAGCTTGATCCGAGAACAAGGTTCCAACTAAACTAATACAAGAGGCTTCAGTAGAATATCATTGAGAT